AACCTCGTTCCAAATTATATATATATATATATATATATATATATATATATATATTAATTCACAATTTAATACATATTTTATATATTTTCTATATTTTCACATTTTACATTAGACATTTATTTTAATTAAATTATATGTTTAAACAATATTTAGGCTCTGAAGATGGCATTACGCCGAAACAGCGCTGTTAGCTTTATTCCAGTTTTAGATAAATATGAACTCAAACAATACCGCCTCGTTGAATGTCTTATAAAGAAGTTAATTAATGCAAAATGGGCAAACAATTTCAATGAAATTTGCATATATATATATATATATATATATATATATATATATATATATATATATATATATATATATATATATATATATATATATATATATATATATATATATATATATATATATTATTAATGAAACATTTATAAGCGCTAATTAAAATTAAAATCAAAAAGTTCTCAAAAGCGCTATCTATAATCAAACAAAGTCAAAAAAGAAAAAAGTACAGTCAATGGCGGTAGTAACAAACAAATAATTATTCACTTAACAACAAAATCAAAGCGAAAATATGTAAGTTTTAAGTTTCTTTTTAAAATCATCAAGTTTCAAATCTTTAGTTCTAAAAGATCTCGGTAAGCTGTTCCAAACCATTGGTCCAGATACTGCAAAATCTCTTGATGCTATCTGCAGATTGACATCAGGTACAACCAGGAAAATGCCATCGTCTGATCTAAGGTTCATACCACTCATCATTATAGACTTTTTCTTTATTTATCAAATAACTTGGTAACAAGCCATGTACAGTTTTATACATTAAAATACACATTTTATATTTAATTCTTTTCTTTATAGTAAGCCCATGAAGGCCCTTAAGAATTGGAGTAACACGGTTAAATTTGAGACCTCCAACAATCAATTTGACTGCTCTATTCTGAATGGATTGAATTGCAGAAATAGACCTATCTGGCAAACCGTAAAACAGTCCATTGCAATAGTCCAATCGTGAATGAACAAACGCATGCACCAAGGTATGAATAGCAGATTTATCTAATGACTTACGGAGTTTATAGAGTTCTCGAATCTGTCCGGAGCATGAATTTGTTATCATCTTTATATGATCATGCCTCGATAATCTAGAATCAAGAATGAAACCCAGATTAGTTGCTTTGTCACTAAATTCTATTTTAACATCTCCTATTTTCACTGAATCGATATTAAGTTTCATCAGCTGCTGCCATGTACCTATTGGAACAAATTTTGACTTCTGCTGATTTAATCTAAGACCATTGTTTGATATCCAATTATCAATGTTATTTAGGCAGGTTACAAGTTTGTTGAATTTAGATTGCAGTAATTCTGGCTTATTACTAACTATAATCTGAATATCATCAGCATAGGCATGATATTTAAAACCGAAATTACCTATTACTTTAAAAACTTCAGCGGTATACATGATAAAAAGAATAGGCCTAAGCACTGAACCTTGTGGCACTCCTGATGTCAAAACCGTTTCATTAGATAACACATTATTGAAAACTACTTGTTGCTTTGTGTCAAACAGATATGATTTGAACCACTTGATAACAGTACCGGAAATACCGTAATCATGAACCAATTTTTCCAGGAAAATCTGATGGTCTACACAATCAAATGCCGCACTCATATCTAAAAACGCGACTAGAGCCACATGTTGTTTGTCTAAAGCAGCAAACAACTCAGAAAACACATAAAGCAGTGCAGTTTCTGTTGAATGATAGCGGCGATATCCAGATTGGTGAACTGGTAGCAGGTTGTTTACATTCAAATGATTCAAGAGCTGTTTGGCAACCACTCGTTCAAATATCTTGGAAATGAAACAGATGTTGAAAATTGGTCTATAACAAGACAAATCATTTTGATCAATAATCACTTTCTTTAAAACTGGATAAATCATAGCATGCTTACAACCATTAGGAAATGTTCCACTGCCCAGACTCAGATTTAAGATGCTGGTAAGAAAAACGATAAATAAATCAATATATTTTATTAAAATATGGGTCGAAAAGACATCTATCATACATGTTTTTGATGGCAAACTGAGTACAATTTTTTTAACGTCAGATTCTGTTAAAAGCATTAAGTCAGGAAAAGAACAATTCCCATTGTACTGAGCTTGACAAATAGGTAGACTCACATTGGTAGACTGTTTAATTTTATTTACTTTATCATTAGTTCAGCTACGAGAAAAACTACAGAAACGAAGCCTTGTCACAAGTGGCAACAAAGAAGTACTAGTAGCACGTCTGAGAGAAGCTCTCATTGACGAAGGTAAGAACCCAGACGAATTCAAGTTTGATGGTGCTGACGAAGATAATGAAATTAGCACAGGCACGTTTACAACCGCTAAAATGATGGAACTTCTGCTTAGTATGTCAACTGAAATAAAACAACAGTCCGAACGACAGACAGAAGAGTTAAAACAACAGATCAAGGAACAGTCCGAACGACAGACAGAGGAGTTAAAACAGATCAAAGAACAGTCCGAACGATAGACAGAAGAGTTAAAACAACAGATCAAGGAACAGTCCGAACGACAGACAGAGGAGTTAAAACACGTAAAATTGGAACTGGCAGAACAGATTGAAGAACAGTCAACAAGAATAGAAATGATCGAGCAGAAACTTGATCGTCAGACCGTTGAGGTAGATCACAAGATAGACAAATTGAAGCGAGAACTGGAGCAATCCAAAAAAATGGCCATGCCGTTAGATCACGCATCCGGAAGAACTTTGAAGGTACCAGCATTTGACGGAGAGATGTCCTGAAACGTTTATAAAACCCAGTTCGAAGTAGCGGCAACTAGTAACTGTTGGAACGGGAAAGAACGAGCAACAACACTGATACTGGCCCTGCGAGGTTCAGCAGCAGAGGTTCGTCAGACGATTCCGGCGGAGAACCACTTCAACTATAAGTTCTGGTTATCGCGTTGGATTTACGTTATGGTGAAGAACACATGAAACAGATTTATCGGTCTCAGCTTAGAAACAGAACGCAACGATCTGGTGAATCCATTCAGCAGCTGGCACAAGATATCGAACGGTTGACATTGCTGTCGTATCCAACATCAGACCCCGAGCATAGAGACGAAACTGCCCTGGATACTTTTATCAAAGCCCTTCGTGATTCGGAACTCTGGCTAGTAGAATTGACGCCCCCAGTACCGTAATTAACGTTTCCAGACTACATCGAAATCGAAACGACCTATGGCTGAACGGAAAAGTTGATCAACGAGAATGTGTAATTACAGTCGACACCGGAGCAACAAAATCGATTTTAAGATCTGATTTGGTACCTAATCTGAAGAAAGAGACTTCTAACAAAGACATCCTTCGAACAGCTACCGGAGGAACCGCACCAGTCTATGGAAAGATTCTCCGTACTGTTCAGCTAGGCGACTTGTTATTCGAAGGTTCATTCTTAGCCGCGGATATCATCGACGAATACTTAATAGGTGTCGACTTTTTGACAAAATATGGGTTCAAAATTGACTTAGAAAAACGCATTCTTAGATGGAGAAATACAGAAGTGATAATGGGGGATAGCGACGAAAAATGCATTCGAGTGACAGTCAATTGTGACATAGAACTACCTCAATCATCTGAAAACATCGTATGGGGCAAGTTGAATTGCGATCCAAGGGGCCACCAGTTCTATTTGATGGAGCCAACCTCAACGACAAATGTACAGAACGCGGTCATTGGAAAATGCCTGTTAGAAGCGAACAAAAAATGGTCTTATTCCTGTCAGAATAATTAATACCGCTAAACACACTATTAAAATTAAAAAAGGCGAGGAAATAGGTAATTGCCAATTAATAAATTTGGTGAAATCATTAGATGTGGAGCAACAGGAAAAGGTTCTACCAACTGACAAAGGTAGACCCAAAGAACTTATCAAAAATCTACTGGATGAACTCAATTTGTATCAAGAAGACCGTCTAAAAGCCGAGGCGTTGATTGCTGATTTTACAGAATACGTGGATAATCTTCAACAGCGATTAAACCATATCCACCGTTACGTACGCCTTAAAATTATGAAAAACACGGAGGCGGCCAAAACCAGATACGACTTGAAAGGAAGCAGTGGCGGTTTTGCTGTCGACGAGTTAGTTTGGCTGTACAACCCACAGCGAAAGAAAGGACGTTCTCCAAAGCTCCAGCGAGGGTGGGAAGGACCTTATCAAGTCATCACCCGCTTGATTGACGTCGTCTACCGTATTCAAGAATATCGGAAGCCGAGAGCAAGAATGAAGATCTTTCATTTGGATAGACTGGCTCCGTACCATGCGGACACCGGAACGAAAGCTGTTCGGGACGAACAGAACTAAGAAGGGGGTAATGTTATAACCGGGCTACCGAACGCACTAGATTCTAGCGTATTCTAGAATGTTCTAGTGACTGGAGCATTCTAGAGTATGCTAGAATCGGATCATCTAGAAGAATCTAGAAACGACGCTTGCGAAGAGTATATAAGCGCACGTCGCAAGAAGATTAGTGAAATCCGTGATTAGTGAAATCCGTGATTAGTGAAATTCGTGATTAGTGAAATTCGTGACTCTGTGATATCGTGAATAGCGTTTCGGTGAATTATATAAAGCGATATTTGATTTGTTTGTTGACGTTGTCATAGCGATACATTTTAAACAATTTAAAAGTTAATTGTTGCGTTAATTTGAATTTGCTAGAAATAAACGATTAGTCGATTTCTTCTGTAAATAAAGTTTAATAACTAATAACTGTTTGGAGTATTTTATTCAATCGAAGATTTGAACCCGTCGCATCGTAAATCGGTTACGACAGCGAGTATTATAACAATATCTAGCCCATCATGAATCAAATCATAGATCGTATCAGTTTTAGAAATCAATGATCGAATGTTTAATAAACCTAGTGTTAAATTACGATTTATTATGTTGCAGTCTTTATCATTTTTATCATTTATTTTTAAATTCTTGACATATTTTATATTAACATTGGTTTTTTCTGTATTTTTACAATCTTCCATCTCCCTACCTGTCCTCTCACTCTGAACAAAAAATTTTGATTGTTTTCTTCTCGCTCCATAACTTTAGCTTTATCAACAAATGATTTGAATTTCTGCCTCTGATCCTTTGTTAAATCATAGTTCAGTCCAACATGTGAAAATTCTTTTAACGACTTGAATTTATATACATTTCTCATTTTTGTGTCTCTGAGTAAAACGCAATCTAATTTTATCAAACTGGGTCTAACGACAGTTTCGCATTTCCTTCCCAGTCTCATTATTTTGATTACATTTTTTTCAGAAACATCTCCTGTCAAATGCTTAAAAATTTTCAAAACATTGGAACGATCATCATCACTTTCAGCTAAACGAAACATCAATAAATTTGTTTCTCTTTCTTTAACGTCACTAGCTTCTTGTAAAGTTTTCTGGATTGATTTGACATCACTTCTAATTACTTCAACATTCAATTTAACTTCCTTGCTGACAATGCTAGAAAATGTTTCTTTTATTTCGTTTTTAAAAATTTTAATTTCCTCGCGTAAAACAGTATCAAAACGATCAAGTTCATCAAGTTTAGATTGGTTATGGTCAACAACCATTTTTATGCTATCAACATCAAGTTTTATTTTTCTGTTACTATCATTTATTTCATTTATTTGAGCAACAAATTCATTTTTAGACGCATCCATTGACTTAGCCAAAGAACTAACATCTTGAGACAAATCAACACAACGTTGACAAATGCATTTTAAACCTTTAACACTTCCCTAAATTTCAAGAATATCATCGTTAGTTTCACATTTATTGTGAACAAAAGTCTTGCAACAAGTGCATGACAACAAATCTTTACTTGGAACTTTTGTTGTACACTTTGTACAACAGTAGCGACTACCAGACGACATTATTGAATTTATTTTTATAATTAATTACGCTTACTAGCAGGGAAATTCCTATCACGTGACAGAAATTTACAGACAATATTTTATCAAATTTAACTAAAATAGTGAATTTTACAAACTAAATTTGATATAAAATTATTCAAAAATCTAATTATGTTAATCTATCCAAAAAAATATCAATAAACGATTACTTTTAACGACGAAAACACCAAAATTAACTGACGAAACGACCATATCAACGGTCAAACGACTGTCCTATACACACACACACACACACACACACACACACACACACACACACACACACACACACACACACACACACACATACATACATATATATATATATATATATATTCGCGTGTGTATGTGTTTACCTTAAGCATTGTTTTTTATCTTTAAATATTTTTATTTTGGCATTAATTCCTTGCATGCTATACAAATCTTTGCAATTAAGAGAACAATTCTGTAAAAAATTAAAATAAAACACTTGGGAACAAACCTCAGAATGTGGTCCTATATCGACTCCAGGACATGCAAAAGTGACAAACTCGTGACATCTTTTATGCACCACGTAACAACATACTAATATAGGAAATATTTAAAAATACTAATTGTTACATTTTACGCATTAAATATAACTGGTTTGCAGTGAAATTTTAACAAATGAAAAAACATTTTTTTGCCAGATTATATTAAACCATTAGAATTCAATCGCTTGTCGATTTAAAAAATGCCTGCAATATTGAAAAAATTGCACTATTTAACCTACAAATTTTTTGAAAATAAACACTATCTTGAAATTGTAAGCTGCTTTGTCTTGTCTTAGTATTTCTTGTTTAATAAGAATAAAATAATAAAAGTTTAATAATAATTTTAATAAAGTTTTCAAAACCCATCTGACAAATTCCACGGCGCCTTCTACTGACAAAATAGGCGATAAACGCTGTGATAATTTCCACGATGCAAAAGACATTCACAAATTCCCTACCCCTGTCAAAACAGGCGATGAACGCTGTGATAATTTTCACAATGCAAAAGGCATCGACAAATCCCTGAACATCGCCAGTCATCCTAGTGAAAAAGAAAGATGGTAATAAACACTTTTTCGTGGACTACTGAACGCGGCCAACAAGAAAAATAGTTATCCGCATTCGCTGATTGACAGTGTGATGGATACCTTAACTGGTTCTCAGTGGTTTTCGATCTTGGATCTAAAGAACGGGTACTGGGCAGGTGGAAATTGAAAAAAATGACTAAAACCTCTTATTGTTAGACAATTCACCATGAGCCCTTTCAGGCTATATAATGTCCCAGACACATTTGAACGGCTAATGGAATACGTATTGAGGGGACTTACGAGAAAGACGTGTCTTGTCTATCTAGACAACATTTTTTTGCAAGAGGTATTTTTCAGACTCTGAGCAAGAAATTTCAAGTTGAACAAAAATAAATGCAAGTTTTTTTCAAAGGTAGTAATTTAACCTGGACATATATATTACCAAAATGGTTAAGAACGAACCCCAGTAAAATAGACGTAGTAAAAAGCTGGTCAGTATGCAAAGATAAGCATTATCACGTCGACCATGCCCACCGAACTGAAAACACTGATGCAAGCGAAGAAGGCACAACCGGAGGATGTCAGGGCAATTTTTTTGATGACAGACAGTGGATGGGCATTCACAGAACAGGCTGCCGCACAACATGCTGACGAAGACTTACAATGCGTCACCAGGTGGAAGGAAGCCGGCCGGAGACATGGTTGGCAAAACAACTCAAAACACTGTCCCATATCTAAATACTACTGGGTCCAGTGGGTCTAACTTCATCTTGGAGACGGACTTCTTAAGCGTAGATGGAAATCCGCAGACGGATCCAATCACATCAAGCAAACAGTGATAAGCAGGGAGAAAACAACTAGTTTCAAAAAAATGCCTGAAGGATAGTTCGGAGAACTCGTAGAAACAACAAACCATAGATCGGATTTGAAAAAAGTTTTATTGGGTCTACGCCCGAAAAAACGTAAATAGTTAGTGCCGGAATTGCACTACGTGTGAAAAAGTAAAAGTGCCGAAAAGAAGACTCCGCAGACCAATTATTATTATTATGGGCGTGCCCCATAACAGGACAAAGTGTTTCCATTTCAAGCGATCATGAGCAAGTCTTTAGGCTTAGTAAGAGCGGTAGTTGATGAGTGACAAGTCCTTCTCCACTGAGCGGATCCATGACTGTGTTGAACGGCCGCGCGGTCAAGTCCAGCTCGGTGGCGGTCGGTCTATGACAACTTTTAAAGCCCGGTAATGATCCTCCATAGGACTGGCACGAGCTATGTGACCAAAAAAGTTTAGACGACGCCTGAACAGGAGAGCTGCTGTGTTTTTCTTCTCACCTCAACGTTTGTAACGCAATCGCTGTAGGTCAGACAAAGGATCCTGTGCGAGCACCATTGATCTGAAACGTCTAGCCTCTTCAAATGAGCGCCAGTAGTTGACCACGCCTTGCATACACAGAGCATCACGGGGATGATATATGCGTTATACAATCGAACTTTGGTCGTTAATGAAATGCCCGAGTGCCAAATACCACGATCCAGAGACCTCATACATGCACAGACAATGATAACTCGAAACGAAATTTCAGCGTCCCTACTGCCTGACGAGTGTATTTGGGAGCCGAGATATAGAAACGAATCCACAATCTACACGTCATTACCAAACACAGCGACAGACGCGGGTGGCAGATCGCCCAGAGAGATTGCAGACCAAAGCAGGCTAACAAAGTCGGCGCACCTTGTGAAAGGATTTTGGTAGACATTAAATCAAAGAAGGGCAACCGGTACATTCTGTTAGTCGCTGAATACTTCAGCAAATATCAGCATATATATATTATATATATATATATATATATATATATATATATATATATATAAACTTTAAATCGCAACTTTTTGGAAAACTGTACAAAATGGTGGAGCGCTTCAATCAAACCATCATCAATATATATATATATATATATATGAATATAAATATATATATACATATTTATTTATATATATATATTACTATATTATATATTATTGATGAAAATCACAGCATGTTCGGCGTTAGTTAACTTCAATTTAACTTTTCGATTTTTCTAACGGTTGACCGTAGGTCATTTTCAAGTTTCTTTAGTTCAAAACCGAAATTTTTGTTTATTTTAAGCATGATAAAACAGGAAAGCTTTTTTCGGTATTCCTATACCATCTTCGGGGTTCAAATTGATATGTTGTGGTTGTGCCCAGATGCTCAAATATTTCTATACTGTGTCTATTTATTGGTTCCTTGTTTGTTCAAAGTGAATATTTAGTTTTACAATTTCCAACGTCGTAAAATATAACACTTTTACGTGTTTTCATTATTGATAAATATAACACTTTTAAGTGTTTTCATTATCGATAAACATACTTTTACGTGTTTTCATTATCGATGATTCATCTATCATGCATAAAATAAACAAAAATTTTGGTGTTGAACTAAAGAAACTTGAAAATGATTTACGATCAACCGTTAGAAAAATCGAAAAGTTAAATTGGAAGTTAACTAATGACGAACATGCTGTGATTTTCATCAATAATTGCATTTCTGACAGTCTTATATATATATATATATATATATATTGGGTTTAGACTATCATAAATACAATTATTTATAACGATCATGTCCTATCAAGGACATAGACTAAACTCTAATCTCAGCAAGTTGAATGATGCCGAAAACGCAAAGATTTTTATAAATAATTGTATATATTTGCCTTTTTTTTTAAAATTTTATTTCATCAAATCAAAACAAAAAAATCAAAGAAATGATATCAATGAAAAATGAAAAGAAATGATCTGGTAATCGAAAAGAAAATATGGTTTTCTTGTAATGATTATCAGTGACGATTGTAAAAATGAGAGCATATTTTAAATATTTTTGTACATGTAATGTAATGATTACCAGTGAGAATTGTAAAAATGAGAGCATATTTTAAATATTTTTGTACATGTAAACTCACATTCATTTTACAAATCCTAAAAAAACTATGTATATATATATATATATTTATATATATATACATATATATATTTATATGTATATATATACATACATATATATTGCTAGTTGATATCTGCAATTTATTTTGCTCTGCGATTTTTTCATCATAGTTTTCGTAATTGGAATTTAAATTAAGTTAAATTTTGATTCATCTTATAGAGGAAATTTTCACTAACACAGTGATATAAGTTTTTTTCGTTAGCTGATTACATTTGATTTTTGTTTTAATTTGTGGATTTTCTCTTTATTTGAGTTTAATTTTTGTTTAATTAACGAACTAAAGAAGTTTGTATTGTGAAAGTTATAGGATTGTTGTGTAGAAACCATATTGTCTGTATGGCGAGTTGTGTTAATTTTACGTTGATTTTGAGTTTTACAGACTACAAAATAATATAACAGATCTACAAATTTTCAAAACTAATTTTATTTGTATACTAACTTACTGCTGATTAATGATGTTTATAATTCCAATTGAATATTTACCGTAACAATGTCTGGTAAATGTTTAGTTTGTAATAGTAAAGTTGAAGCTAAAGATAGCTTGTATTGTAATTTTTGTGAGTCAGTTGCACACTGTAAGTGTGACTGGAATTTTTGAGTCATCGTTAAAAGAATTTCAGAATGCTTCTGGATTTCTATGGAGTTGTGTCAATTGTATGTGGTTTAATTCATATTTGGTGGGACGAACACAGGAGGTTCGATTTGGTCATGTTTCATTTAGTATCGGTTCAATTTCATATGGTGTGCCGCAGAGTTCAGTACTGGAACCGATCCTGTTTACGCTGTGCAAGTCGGAAGTCATAGGGATTATTGAAGCCTTTGGTTTTAAGTGTCATGAAGAGTTTATTTTTATTAAGACCAGAATTTACTTTTAAGAAACCAAAATTTACTTTCATTAAAACTAGAATTTAATTTTTAAAATAAAATTAACTTTTATTAAACCAGAATTTACAACTCTCCGAACCGAAACTTCCTTTATTAAACCAAAATTTATTTTTATTAAAATTTACTGGTACTGCTGCATTCCATCGTCGCATTTTTACTAAAACCAGAATTTACTTTTATTAAACCAAAATTTACTTTTATTAAAATTAGAATTTAATTTAATTAATTTTTTAACCGGAATTTACTTTTATTGAACTAAAATAAAACTAGGAATTTTTTTATTAAAACCAGAATTTACAAATCTCTAACAAAAATGTGTCTTCTCTTTGTTTTAGATATAAGGCAGGCCAGGTTAAAAAATTCAGATGTATACTGTAGATGTATATTTTATCCCCCTTGGGCAGAGCACTGGTAAGGACAACTGAAAAGATAAGTATTGGCGCTAAAAAACATTCTTGTTTCACCCTACTGCCTATGGAAATCGATTCAGAAATAGATCCGTCAAATTGCACAACGCCCTGCATCTATATATATATATATATATATATATATATATATATATATATATATATATATATATATATATATATATGTTGGTAATAGACCAATTTTTACAATATTCTATAAATTCTACCGAATGTTTGGCGTTAATATGTTTGTAGTTTGTTTTTTCGATTTTTCTCACCAAAAAACTTTAGTGAGAAAAATCGTAGAATTTATAGAATATTGTAAAAATATATATATATATATTATTATTGAAACATTTATGAAGCGCTAATTAAACGAATCTCAAAAGCGCAATCTAACAAAAACTGAACTTAGCAACATAATTGAGATAACAAACGAGAAATCGTAATGCATCGTACAGAAATAAGATTAAAATTTGGTCATAAACAGATAAAGTAATCGATTCAATATAACGAAAATACGAAATAATATTTAGAACTAAACAAAAAGAATTGATCAATAATGCATTACAATGAAAATAAATGAGTTTTCAGTTTCTTCTTGAAATCACGCAGGTTTAGGTCCGGATTTCTGAGAGCAGCAGGCAGGTTGTTCCAAACAGTTTGTCCAGAAACAGCAATAATACTAGAGCCTATACGGAGACTCGTTGTTGGGATCAACCGCAGGTTTGAAATATCGGATCTCAGGTGTGCTCCAGATGCTTTTGAAGATCTCTTTTTGAACCTGTCAGACAAATAAGATGGAGCTAGACCGTTGATAGATTTGTAGACAAGTGTTGAAATTTTGAACAACACTCTTTTGTCGACGGTTAACAAATGAAGTTCCTTTAATATTGGAGACACATGGTCGTATTTTAGAGCTCCAACAACAACTTTTGCGGTTCGATTCTGTATTGACTGCAGTACAGCCATGGACCGATCAGGTAAGTCATAAATCAAACTGTTGCAATAGTCGACGCGTACGTGCACAAATGCATGAACCAACGTCTGTAACGTGGACGCATCTAGGGATCGTCGAATTTGATTGATTTTCCTGATTTGAAACATGCATTCGGCTGAGAGCTTCTTAATGTGTTGTTTCATTGACAAACCTGAATCAATCATGAAGCCTATAACCCTATTAGCTGATTAATAGCCTATAACCCAGATTAGCTGCTGTCTGACAAAATGGGATGACCTCATCATTAACAGTTATTGAATCTATGTTTATTTTTGAGAGTTGCCGCCATGTTCCGATTGGTAAAAAACAGTCTTGTTTTGGTTAAGTTTTAGACCATTGTTTTGCATCCACTTATTGACCCCAGACAAACATTTAACCAATTTGTCCAATTCTGATTTAAAAGAATCTGGTCTGCTCGTAACAATAATTTGTAAGTCGTCCGCAAAAGCATGACCTGAAAAACCAAATGATTCCATTACCTTTAGTACTTCAGATGTATTGATCAGGAATAGAATAGGCCCTAGAACCGAATCTTGTGGCAAACCAGACAACATAACATTAACTTCAGACAATTTACCACCGAATGATACCTGTTGTGATCTACCTACTAGATACGACTCAAACCACCTCAGAACAGCACCAGAGATTCCAAAACTGCAAGCTATATATATTCTATATAGACCATAATTTTTACAATATTCTATAAATTCTACCAAATGTTTGGCGTTAATATGTTTGTAGTTCGTTTTTTCAATTTTTCTCACTAAAGTTATTTGGTGAACGTTTAGTTTATTAAAATTTAAAATAAACTTATTTTCCGAATTCATGCTGCAAATAAGGCCATATTTCGATTCCGAATGAATCATCATCAGTGCGATTTAGTTTATATAGGGAAATTAGATGTCAGGTTTCTTTATTGGCTGGAAATGGAACTTAAATTTTAAATGGAAATTAGGTGTCAGGTTTCTTTATTGGCTGGTCCATCTTCGTTGGTTTCCCTTTCTTCATCGATAGCATCATATTCTTCTTTGTCACTATTTACAATGCTAGTTTTTATTACTTCTTTGTTTTCATTGTTGATTAAGCGCCGGGTTGGGAGTGTGGTTGTCATTTTTTTGTTGTATATTTATTTTTGGTTTATTGATGTCAATTAGGACGTCATAAAATAGATGGGAACAATTCTGAGCACATTTAATTAAAAGGTAACAAAATACCAAAATTTTACTTTTATCTCGGCAACGTTGCCGAATGAGCAAAAGATGATGTCATTAAAGAATTAAAATCTAACAATATTAATTTGCTGTCATGCAAACCAGTTTTCAAGAAAAAACAGAACAACGGGAAAAATTAGATGAGAACAACAAATCAACATCATTCAGAATATGCGTTGAGAAGAACGACCTAAATAAAATCAGGGATACAAACATTTGGCCATCAGGCGTTATTTTAAAAGATTGGAGTTTTAACAAACCGACAGCCGAGCCGGACAAAGATTTACCTCAAAATACTAGCAATGAATGACGACCGAATAACAAATTTGATCTCCGAATTCTATCAATCAATCAATCAATTAGCTTATAAAGCGCTATTTCCGCGATGTTCAACAGCGCTCCTCAATGAATTTTGAAAACAGATGGGTCTTGAGATCCGCTCTGAACTTCGCAAGTGATGGAGAAGTAGTCAGAGAAGTAGGTAGAGAGTTCCAGAGAAAAGGACCAGAAAAAGCAAAAGCAGATTTGGCAAAAGAGTGTTTAACACAAGTTAAGAAAAAGCGAGAAGAAGAAGACGATCGTAAACCGGGGCGTTTAGTTTCAATTAATATTTTTGATAAATACTTAGAAAATAATTTAGATTAAGACTTATACATGAACGTGCAAATTTTAAAAATTATTCTATATTTTATAGGTAGCCAGTGCAAGAGAACAAGATATGGAGATATATGAGAAAACAAAGGGGCACGAGCAACTAGACGAGCAGCAGAGTTAAAAGCTTTACTTAAAGGATAGAGTATAGAGTCAGGAAGACCATAGTAGAGCGAGTTACAATAATCAATCCTAGATAAGACTAACGAAGTAACAAAAAGGAGAAGAGTAGGATCATCAAAAAAAGGCAAAAGTTTTTTATTCTACGTAGATGAAAGTAAGAGCTTCTAGCAATACTATTAATCTGAGAAGAGAGAGATATAGTAGAATCAAAGATAAAACCTAGACTACGAAACTTATGAGAGACATCAAGAGTTTTAGAATCAGGTAAGATTAGATTAGATTTATTAAAACAAATTAATTCAAACTTAGAAGGATTAAATTTAAGACACATAGAGTCAGACCAAGCAATAATTGAAGAAAGACATAGAGATAAATTATGATACGAGGTAGTTCAGAAGTATAGAGAATAAATAGAAGAGGGCCAAGGATAGAATCCTGAGGTACCCCGAAAGTAAGAGTGGAGGAGTTAGAAGTAGAATTATTGAGAACAGAAGAAAAACGATTACAAAGATAAGAAGAAAACCAAGATAGACAAGAATCAGTAATATTAAAAGAATGATGCAGCAGTCTCAAGAGAATAGTATGGTCAACAGTATCAAAAGCCGAGGAAAAGTCAAGAGCAAGAAGAAGAGTAAGATTACTATTGTCACTAGAGAGAAGGATATCATTGTGTATTTTGAGTAAAGAAGTTTCAGTACTATGAGCAGGTCTGAAACCAGATTGAGATACAGGTAGCAAGGAGTTAAAGTATAAATAGGATGACAGTTGATTAAAAACTACTTTTTCTATTATTTTAGAGATGAAAGTAATATTAGTTACAGGTCTATAATTAGATAAAGAGGTAGTATCTAAGGATGAGTTTTTAAGAATAGGAATAACAATAGAATTCTTATAAGAAGTAGGAAATTTGGAGGTGGAAAGAAATAAATTAACTAATTTGAGAATGATTGGATAAAATATTGAAGAAAATTCTTTAAGTAAATTAGAAGGAAATGGATCTAGAAAACAGGTTGTAGACGACATAGAATTAATAATTTTAGTTAGTTCTAAAAGATTTATTGGAGTAAATACAGAAAAAGATTCAGTAGTAAGTTTAGTGAAGTTATGAGAAAAAAAATTAGAATTAGATGTTCTTAAAGAAGTAATTTTATTTACAAAAAAGTCATGAAACTGTTTAGCAGAAAAAGATGAGTGAGAGAATTTTTTATGTAGAAGTTTAGATAGAACAGACCACCTATTTTTAGATGTTGAAGCAGATGTTATAGAATTTCTAAGAAAAGTAGAGTGTTTAGAGAATAGTAGATATTTATAATTAATCAATTCAGATTCATAGATAGAATAAAGAGAGTTAGATGGATTTAACCTATAGGCTTTCTCCAGTCTTCTAACACTTTTCTTGGCTACTACACAAGCATAATCAAACCAAGGAGCCTTACGAGAATAGAGCCTATAAGTAAAAGATTTAAGAGGAATAAGTTTATCAAAAATAGAAGTAATGTAGATGTTAAAAGCATAGACAAAATCATCAACAGCAGAAAATAAGGTAGTATTAAAAATAGTTTCAGTAAGAGATTGAAGAAAAATATCTCTATTAAGAGAAGACCAGCATCTTTTAGAAATAGACATAGATGAATTTGAAGGAAGAAAATCTAATGAAAAAACAGATTTAATAAGAAGGTGATCAGAATAAGGAACAGAGCTAGCAGAGATATTAATAGGCTTAGAAAAAGATGAAGCTATAATAAAATCAATAGTGTTACCAGAAGTATGGGTAGGAAAAGAACAATATTGAATTAAGTTAAAAAGAGACAACAATTAATAATTCTATTTTATGCTAAATTATTAACAATTCTCGTTATATCGTTATATTATCCGAGCATTGAAAGGTTATTTTAGGTTACACGGTGGCCGAGCCTACAAGAATTTATTTTTTTATTTGGTTCCCGAATCATTCTTACTTTTTGTTGGTTTGACTGAATAAAAAAAATGATTTGATATATATACACTTGGTGGTGGAATGACACTGTGCAAAATGCAATAGCTGAAAAGAAAGCTGCATTCAAGCAATGTCAAAAATCAAAGTCTGTTGGTGACCATAAAATTTTCCGTGAGAAGAACAACTATGCAAGACGTAAAGTTGCACTGGCTCGGACAGATCAGTGCAGAGAGTGGACAAATGAAATCTCTGTATCGTATAGCAAAACAAGCAAAGCTTACGTAAAAAGACATAGTTGGTGCCTCATGTATCAAAAACGACAAAAATGAGATAGTTCTTGAACAAGTTGAGACCAAGCTACAGTGGAGAGAATACTTCAACCGTCTGCTAAATGAAACAAATCTCATCAATGTCAACTTTGACGCTCCACCCATCAAAGGTCCGATTCCAGACATCACAAACTCTGAAAGCTATGAAGAATGGAAAGGCACCAGGGCACTCTGGACTCACAAATGACATTATCAAAGCATCTAGTACTGCGGGTATCCAAATGTTACTACCATTTTGTTGTGATGTGTTTAGAAATTGCTCAATGCCAACTGAATGGAACCATAGAATGACAGTTCCGCCATACAAAAGCAAAAGTGATCCATGTTAACTAACGCCGAACATGCTGTGATTCTCATCAATAATTGCATTTCTAACAGTCTTATATATATATATATATATATATATATAAGATTGTCTTATATATATATATATATTTGTTTGAATTTGTATTTGTATTTGATGACTTGTATAGCGCCCCTCCAGAATGACATCAGAAGCGCTAGCATCGCTATGGATTGTTAAACAGATAATTTTCTATACGTTTCTTGTTGGCAGTGCATTCCAAATTTGAGCTGACGACACCGAAAATCTTCTTTTTCCAAGGCGTGAAAAGTTGTGCTTTGGTATCACGAGATCTCCATTATCAGAAGATCTTAATCTGTTTCTGTTTGTAACCTCGGAATCTGGTTGGAGCTGCTCTCTCAGATAACATGGAGCCTCGCCGGCCAGTGAATCTTTGACAAGGAGAGCCAATTTAAACTCTTTCCGGCATACGAAGCCAGTGCAACTCATCTCTGATGTAAGCTGATATCGACTCGAATTTTGTGAATCCTGCAATCAGTCTTGCAGTGATATTAAGCATTGATTGCATGTCATTCTGAAGGGAAACTTTTATACCGTACATTATTGCATTACAGTAATCAATTCTGCTGCAAATTAAACCACAAACAAGTGCCTTTGTTGACTCAACAGTCAGATATCGTCTGATTGACCTGATTTTATGAAGCTGGTAAAAACATCGACGGCAAAGTTTATTTACGTGACCATCCATTGATAGGTGAATCCAGTATAATTCCGAGATTAGTTACTCGAGATTTAAATTCATCTACAAAACTGAGACCATGCGATGTTCCCATCCACGTATACTGTGTTTTGTTAACGTTTAATTTCAACTTGTTTAATAACATCCAATTTTCCACTGCGTTTACTGCACCGGACACTTTATCGCTCACCCGACACCATGACTCGGACCGACCAGATCCATACAATTGGATATCATCAGCATAAAGGTGACAATGAAGACCTGATGTCTCTACGACGCTGATGACATCTGTAGTGTACATGATGTACAATAGAGGGCCAAGCACTGAACCTTGCGGTACACCGCGGATTAACTCTGAGGTGGCAGTGTTTAGATCATCACCAACAGAGACAACCTGAGTCCTGTCTGCCAAGTAAGATTGGAACCATCTGAACGCATCACCGGAGATATCATACGAAGTTGAGAGTCTTTCTAACAGGATTTGATGATCCACAGTGTCAAACGCAGCACTTACATCAAGAAATGCAAGCAGTGCAATGTCTCCAGTGTCAATCGCGTCACAGTCATCCGAAACCACCTTCAGTATCGCCGTCTCGGTTGAATATGCTCGACGAAAGCCTGATTGAACCTTCGGAAGCAATGAGTTGCTGTTCAAGTAGGCGAGGAGCTGACGAGCGATTATTCGTTTGATGATTTTGGAAATGAAAGTAAGGTTTGAAATAGGCCTGTAGTTGGCCACAACATTACTTGCCGAACCTGGTTTTTTCAACAGCGGTTTCACCAGAGCGATCTTTCAGTCGATCTGAACACAGGAGCATCACTTCCATCAGCAAACGGTTCAGACTTTGATTTCATGTATGTCAGAAACTGTTGTGCTGAAATAGATGGAGCCATTGAGCTGGCAACTTTTTTCTTTCCAACGAATGATGACAAAACACTCCACAATCTTTTCAGTTCATTGGCGTTAGAAATTATATTTTGTCTCCTTTGATAAAAATAACTTATGTTTTTCCTCAATTGCTAATCTCCAACTGATTAGATGGGCATTGTTTTTCGTCAGCCGATAAATTCTTTCCAACTTTCATGTAGAACGTTTTATGCTGTGGCAGTATTTGTCAAACCAGCGACACGATTTAGAACGAACTCTTTTGTTTACCAATGGAGCATGCTGGTCGACAATTTGTCTAAGAGTTGAGTCACATAAATCAAAAAGCTCCTCCACATTACAATGCAAGTAAACCCCAGAATCACAGACAGCGCTTCCACTCAATGAGCTTCTGAACATGTCACAATCAATACTCGAATTCGTTAATGGCGATGACACCGGTCTATATATTGCGATCATCACAATATTGACGGAACAAACCGGAAACGTCGATACACACAGATACTCGAACGTTTTCGGTTAAAATTTGAGGTCCAGTTTAGTAGATCTAAAACCGTCTCGTACCAGTAGAACCACACCACCACCGTTTGGCATCAGGAATTTTGCCGACTTTTTTATCTCTTCACGAGCTTTATTGAAGCATGTGTAACCCTTGGGTGTCGATCGAATCAGGCATACATCGTCAGAGAAATAATGTCTACTTTCACTAACGGCGAGTACATCCCGTTTCTTATCGCAGACAAATTCTTTTACAGCCATCCATATATTTATTTTGCAAACTATTTATGTTTATTTGAGCAAAGTTTATATTATTTTTTACATAGCAACAATTTTTTGACAGATTAGTTTTATTTCGCCGAAACTTTGGACGCCAATTATGAAATTTAAAAAAGTTTTTCTAATCCGTCTTGAAACAGTGTACAACTTGTTTAAGCTACGTAATTCGTCTGAGCTGTATTTTAACAGCTTAGTGCCTTCCATTAACATAATTAATTCAAGTTGCAACTATAACCAAAATTATTGCAAGTTAGTTCGAAAAAACCAGTTAATTAACAGTTAATTAACAAATTATTTAAACAAATTTATGACCGAAGAATATATATATATATATATATATATATTTCGTTGCATTTCGTTGCTACCTTAGGTAAGTATTTCAGCTTTGGAAAGATTTATGGTAAACGTAAAACCTCGACATGCATTTGTCAAGGCAATAATGAAATTTTTATATATATGTTTTTTCTAGATGGCCGTAAAGTTAATTTTGAACGAATTGTCATGTTATATTTGAAACTGTAGTATGAATTTTACAGCAATTGATTTGAAACATTCTTTAAAATGAAATATTTTGGAATTGATGATGTTTTAAGTTGAGATATTTTGTTGTAAGAAGCTGAAAAGATATCTTTAAATTTGCCTGAACTCTCAAAAAATGTTGACAAATGATAGCAGTTTTCCGAGTTTATTGATGCTGCCAAACATGTTTTTGATAGCAAAATGGATACAAATTTTCCAACTTTTGTGACTTAAATGTTTCGAAAATATATAATTTTGACAAATATTTTTATGATACGATAGGAAAAAATTTTGACGAAGTGAAACCGGCCGGTCATTGTTGAATTACTGGACGGCCATAAAAATTTGCTGAATGATATTCCAGAAAGGGTAAAACTGTTTTCTGATAGGCTCATTAGTCATTTGTTATGGTGCAAAAGACTAGAATACAGCTGCTATTTTATATAAATTAAATAAATAAAAATAAATAATGGGCTTAAACGTAAGTTATATATGCCCATATCAAAATAGCACTAAAAGACAACAAAAAGCAATCAAACAAGTGTCAATTTTATGATCATAGAGAAAATCTTTGTTGGCCATATATAAGTCAAAATTCCTCTTGAAGTTGGAAACAGTATCTGATTCAACAACGCATGTCGGTAAATTGTTCCAAATAGAGAACCCTGTTAGAAAACGAATACTTTCTTTTATTTGTATGGAACTTTTGAACATTTATTCTATAGCGATGCCCTCAAAAACACAAAGCTGGTGAGGAATCTCTATCTACCATACCCTTCGCAATGTTGAAAATCATTAAAATGTCTTCACGAACTCTTCTAAATCTTAAAGTTGGCAAGCCAAGAAACTTCAATCGATCCGAGTAACAAAGGCCTTTGCAATCTCCGACCATCTTGGTTGCCCGTTTCTGAACCCTTTCCAAATCGTCAATTTTTTTTATTTTCCAAGGAGACCATACACTGACACCATACTCTAACTTTGACCTAATTAAAGATTTATAAATCAAAATAAATAACTCTGGTTAAATTTTTAAAGTTTCTGTATAACAATCCTAAAAGAACAAAACATTTATTAATGACATTATGTATATACTTAGAGAAGCTCAGTGAACGTCCAAACAAAACCCCCAAATCGTTTACGTCACCACAAAAATCCAAGTTGGAATTATTAATATTATAACACCAATTATTATCCAAACATGAATGACCAAATTTTATAGCTGCACACTTTTCAATATTCAAATCGATTTTCTATAACATACACCAATCATACAATTTTTCAAGATGTTTTTGTCGCACTATTCTATCATCCACACATCTTATAAATTTAAAATATTTTAGCATCATCAGCATGCAAATACATTTGAACAGAACTATCTTTCACAATATCAAACATGTCATTCACATACACAATAAACAAAGCCGGACCTAATACACTTCCTTGAGGCCCTCCACTACTAACTTCAAACCTTTGAGACAAACAATTATTCACTCTCACACTAGAAGTATCTTGCTCTTTTAATTTCACAACAGTTCTTTTAATTTGATTTCTCAAATGCTTATACTCAGTTAAAATTTGCTTATTCCTATGTTTTATAAAATTCTTCCATAATTTGTTCTTATTCCTAATCAGATTTAAAACAAGCCTGGTAACTTAATTTGGTTACTATTCTTAAAAAATCTTAAGTTAACAATTGGAATAAACTTATTTATTGCCTCATTGATCACATTCAAAAAATAACACCATAGTTCATTAACATCACTATCATTCTTAACCACAGCCATACATTTTTTAACATCCAATTCAGACAGCAAGTACTCATTCATCAATTTATAATTACCTCTCTTAAAATCAAGCCTGTTTTTTAAGCTACACTTGAAATCATACAAATTTATACCCATTACCAAATTCAAACCACAATGATCACCCTTATTTTAAATACTTCTAATGAAAATCAGATTACCTGTGTACAGAACATGAAAAAATTATCTATCGGAAGAAAATATTTCACATTATTCATGTGACGAAATGTGTGGCATCTGATGTGGGTGATCATCTCAGGCTTATCAAAGTTGAGGTGATATCATGCTACTTCACATTTAAAAAGGGCAAAAATGGAGACATGCCCGACGAGTCGCTGTTGTCGAACTACTTCCGATTCTATTTTGATACCAAGTTTTCAGATTTGGTCAACAGGAAGATTTCCTGGTTGGAACATGTGGTAATTCATAATAATAATAATAACTTATATAGTGCTAAGGGCAACCAACTAAAGCGCTCTTTGCCAGACAAGCTAGTGCAGTATGATATATGATATAATATAGAAATTACATATAAAGCCAAGCAATTTGATATAATAGATATAATGTTGTTTCAATGTTATTAGCAATTATAGCAAATAGCAAAAAAAATGAGTTTTTACTTTTTTCTTAAAAGTAGCTAGTAAAAAACAGGTTCTAATATGTTCTGGTAATGACTGAAAGCATGGATAGCAGTGTTGGTTGACGCATGTTGTGTGACTATTGTAGGTGCTTTGAATGAAAGCAAGTTTCTGTTGGATTCTTTGATGACGATTAGATTTCTTAAGTAAATTGGTTATGATGTTGAAAGTGTCTTGAATGTTATTGTAGAAATTTTAAATTGGATCCGAAATTAGATTGAAAGCCAGTGGAGAGTTTTAAAGTTCTTTATTGATTGGTCTGACGTGATGGAAGTTTAATGTTTAGGGCAACACGTGCACTTTTATTCTTTAATGTTTGAAGTCTCTTCATTTGTAGTTGTGTGATGCCATACAAAAGACTATTGCAGTAATCGAATCTAGATAATATTAAACAACGTATTAATGAAGACATAAAAACACATTCTGGTTGTTCAACACTAGGATTTGATTATTGATAAGTACTAATATAATTATATGATATAATCAAGTGATCTTAATTAAGCCGGCAACTACTTCGGACGCTTAACTTTTTATATATTTTTTGATTTAAATTGGATTGCCTGGCTTGTGTATTTATTTATTTATTGAAGTATATTTTGTTGTTTGTCCTTTTTAAGAGGGTGCTTTTGAGTAATTTGTTTATAAATAGCGCTAAATAAATGCTCGGACACACACACAATGTATCAATTCGAACACCGAAGATGGTATAGGAATACTGAAAAAAGCATTTTTGTTCTATCATGTTTAATGTTCTATTTGCAGCTTATTGATGATAGGTTTTGGCTGCAGCATGTCAACGAACCAACAAGATGTCCTACAAGCTAACAGTTGTCCTCATGTTTTGGATTTAATTATCACGTCTGAAGATTGCGTATCAGATTTACAGTATTTATCTCCTCTGGGCAGAAGTGACTACTTATTGATTTCATTTAAAATTTTTGATTTTTCACTTTTGCACAGTAAACCTAGGAAGAAGTTGTGTTTTAATCATGGACAGTACGATGCAATTAACAAATATCTTTCTAGCATGTTATCTGTTGATACAACTGTGGATGTAGACCAAAAGAGCAACGTAGAAAATTTATGGCAAAAATTTTGTTTTTTGATTAGTGAGGCTACTTCAAAATATGTTCCTATGAAAATATATGGTAGCTGTGTTGTTAAGCATGTCAACTTTAAACTGAGGCGACTTATCAAGCTTAAGCACTACTATTGGAAAAGAATCTATAAATATGGAGACGTTGACTTATTGCAAAGTTTCAGGTCTACGAGAGATAAAGTTAGAGCAGAATGTAAACAGCTGGACAGAGATAACCAGAATTTTATTGCCAGAAACTATCATAACAACCCAAAACTGTTCTGGAAACAGGTGAAGAAAAAAATAACAACAGTGGGCAGGGTTGAAACACTCAGAGTACAGAACACAGATCTCACGGGTGATGATGAAAAAGCCCAAGCTTTGGCAAAGTTCTTTTCGCCGGTTTATAAACTTGACAATGAGGTTAATTATAATGACTCGTTATATCCATTGGTTCCGGCTGCCGGATGAATTGCAATTCAATGATGACGTAGTGTCTAAAAAGATTTCTTTATTGGATAAGAACAAATCTGCAGGGCCTGATAATATTCATCCACGGATACTGTTGGAAAGTAAACAGTCGTTGTTTCTGCAGTTAGGCAAATTTTTCAATGT